ATTAAATTAAAAAAAAAATAAAGTGAAAAAAAAAAAAAAAGATCGTGCAGGGGTTCACATGTAAAGATTAGGATTGAGTTACAATAAGGAATAGTTCACATAGATCCAGCCAACCACATTGGCATTTCAGACTAATTTCTTTTCTTTTCCCTTTGTCTAGATGACCAAAATGTTAGACTTGCTGGAGGACTTCTTAGACTATGAAGGCTACAAGTATGAGCGCATTGATGGTGGCATCACTGGTGCCCTGAGGCAGGAGGCCATTGATCGGTTCAATGGTGAGAGGGAGGTGCCTTTGTCTATGGTGGGCATCAAAGGCCCAAGAAACCTGTGCCACATCCCTAGGATGGGAGGAAGGGTGGTGTGAGGGAGTATTGGATACTGAGGCTTTGAGCTGGGGGCATGGTTGATTGTACTCAAAGGACATCTAGTAACAGACAGAACTGCTGGGTGTAGGAAAAACCTTGGCCTAATTCTCACCTCATAGCTCCTGGGGCCCAGCAATTCTGCTTCCTCCTGTCTACCCGAGCTGGAGGCCTGGGTATCAATCTGGCCACTGCTGACACTGTCATCATCTTCGATTCTGACTGGAACCCCCATAATGACATCCAGGTGGGAACTTACATCCCTGTACCTTTCAGCAGGGAGATGTGGGTTCATAGAAGTGGGTATCATACTCTGGGATGGATTAGATAAACCCCTTTAGAGAGGAGAGAGGGCACTCCCCTCCTAGCCTCATTTCCCAAACATGTGGCTGCTTTTCTTTGCCACTCCCCTGGCCCATCCTGACTTCTTGCCACCCATGCAGGCCTTCAGTCGGGCCCATAGAATTGGCCAGGCCAACAAAGTGATGATTTATCGGTTTGTGACTCGTGCATCCGTGGAAGAGAGGATTACACAGGTGGCCAAGAGAAAGATGATGCTAACGCACCTGGTGGTACGGCCTGGGCTGGGCTCCAAGGCAGGCTCCATGTCCAAGCAGGAACTTGATGATATACTCAAATTTGGCACTGAGGAGCTGTTCAAGGATGAAAATGAGGGTAACAACTTTTTCTGCTGTTCCCTGAAGGCAAGCCTCTGCTTTCCTTGTGCAAGTCCGCTGAAAAAAATGCTAGCTCTTCATACAGGCTGTAAAGAAAGCAAGGCCTTCTTTACAGGTCCTTGGAGGAGGATTGGCCTAAACAAACAAAACAAAAATGCTTTACATGGGCTCCCAGGGAAGTAGCCTTCCCTCCAGGACCCCTGTGAAAAAGAAACAATGTAGAACCTTTCCTCTGCCTTTGCTAGAGTTTCTGGTTGGAACTCTTAATTTCCCTTTTGTTCTCTGTCTCTACCAGGAGAGAATAAGGAGGAAGACAGCAGTGTGATTCACTATGACAATGAAGCTATCGCTCGGCTGCTGGACCGGAACCAGGATGCAACTGAGGACACTGATGTGCAGAACATGAACGAGTATCTCAGCTCTTTCAAAGTGGCACAGTATGTTGTGCGAGAAGAGGATAAGGTGAGAGGCTTTGGTCCAGACCCTATCTATCCCAAGCCATCTCTAAAATCTTGAATTATGGGGCCCTATTCTTATTTTTTGTGTTCTCAACATAGTCCCGAGCAAAGATGCATAGTGGACCTCAAGCAACTTCTTAGTCTTATAGGTGAGATTGGACTTTGGAGACACACTTGGCATGGAAAGTTCTGATAAACACAGAAGGGTAGCGCTGGAGATTTAGCTCAGTGGAACAGCACCTGCCTGGCAAGCATGAGGTCACAAGTTCAATTTCTGGTACCAAAAAACAAAACAAAAAATACACACACAGAAGGCTACTTCCTAATTTTGGTGCAGGAGAAAGATATAGGGAAATAGAGGAGAGGTTTAGAAACGAGGGCAAGAGTACAGAAGTAGAAGCACACTGCAGGTAAAAAAACAAAAAACAAAACAACAACAAAAAAAAACACTAGGGGAAATATGTGACATCTTAGAAACTTGATGCTGAACTCAGAAGGGGATCTAGGAGTAGTGGGTGGGCAGGATGTGGCCAAGGCATGAGAGTAGGAATTTTGATGCCACCCAAGGATTGGTAAGGAAGGAGGATGCTAGCCTTCACTCTGCTGCCCTCCAGATTGAGGAGATAGAGCGAGAAATCATCAAGCAGGAAGAAAATGTGGATCCTGACTATTGGGAGAAGCTGCTGAGACATCACTATGAGCAGCAGCAGGAAGACCTAGCCCGGAACCTAGGCAAGGGCAAGCGGGTTCGTAAGCAAGTCAACTACAATGATGCTGCCCAGGAGGACCAAGGTGAGGGCTGACTGCCTCAGAATGTTAAGAAATGAGAAGGGAGGACAGAGTAAGGGTTGGAGGCCAGGGCTTTCCCAGCTAAAGGAAAAGTATAATGAAAGGTCAGTAAGATTTATCCTAAGATCAGGTGAGTTTGCCAACAATTTAATACCTCAGGCTTGCAGAGGGATCCTGACAACATCCAGGGTCATTGCTGATGGCAACTGTACCTACTGCTTCACTGTTCAATCATTGTTAGGGTGGTCCAGAGACCAAAGGAGGTTGTGAGTACAGATGGTTCAGGATAAGTAGCCCAGAGTCAGCCTCAGGGCTGGAAGTAGAGAAGTCCCCATGGGAAGGAATCCAGGTAGGAAGAGCCCAACATGTCATAATAAAAGTCATCACTGACTGTTGAGTCCTCTGTACCCTCACAGATAACCAGTCAGAGTACTCAGTGGGTTCAGAGGAAGAAGATGAAGACTTTGACGAGCGTCCAGAAGGTGGCATGTTTTCCTGACTTTCTGCCTTAGCTCTTCCCATTTCACTTCCCAGCTTTGTTGTTGTTTGAGTCAGGGTCTCACTTTGTAGTTAAGATTGGTCTTGAGCTGACTGTGTGCTCCAGGCTGGCCTTGAACTCTTGGTAATCCTCTTACCTCAACTTCCTAAATGTTGAGATGACATTTGTATGCCACCACATCCAGCTCAACTGTTTTTTTTTTTTACAAAAAAAAATGCTAAAAGAAAGAGAAGAATAAATGTCCATAGTCTTTCCACTGTTAAAATTTGGAAGGTATAACCATTTAGGCTTAGACACATTCAGACCCAGAAAGGTAGCTGGGTATGGTGGCATATGTCTATAGTCTGAGATACTCAGGAGGTTGAGGCAAGAGGATTGCTTGAGCCCAGAAGTTCAAGGCAACTCCGGGAAAAAAGCCAAGATCCCATTTTTAAAAATATAAAAACAAACAAAAAACCAACCCAGATAAGTAACATTATTTTACCTTCCTGCTGGTTATCCTGCCTGTCCATAGTGAATGTTTTTATTTATTTATTTATCTATCTATCTATTTATTTATTTCTTTGAGACAGGGACTCCTTATGCATTTCAGGCTGGTCTTGAGCTCACTTTGTAGCCCAGGTTGGTCTTGAACTTGCAATGATTCTTGTACCGCAACCTCCCTAGTGCTGGGATTACAGGCATGTGCCATCCCACCCTTTATTCATTTTAAAATATGACTTGATTCTTTTAGACTCATTGGAGTGATATTTTTGAATTATTCAGAAGAAAATTAGAAGTGAACATGACACAGGCTGTTCTGTGTTCTGTATCTTGAGGGAGTCGGTTTTGGGGGGAAGGACTGGTGCTTAGAGAAGGTAGTGGTTCCACTACTAACTGATGTCACTCATACCCTCAGGGCGTCGACAGTCAAAAAGACAGCTCCGAAATGAAAAGGATAAGCCACTGCCTCCACTGCTGGCTCGAGTTGGTGGTAACATAGAGGTGAGAATTGGACCTAGGTCTCTATGTGTTCTCTGAATGGAGAATGAGGGTTTGGCAATGGGTGAAGGGATGAGGTAAGGCATTGGAAATTGATGTCTGGGTCCCTGAGGGCAGAAAAGGCCAAGACCTGAGAGAGCCCTAGTCATTTACAGCCTTTGCCTTCTTGCCCCACCCTCAGGTGTTGGGATTCAACACCCGTCAGCGGAAGGCTTTCCTCAATGCTGTGATGCGCTGGGGGATGCCACCACAGGATGCCTTCACCACACAGTGGCTGGTGCGGGACCTGAGGGGCAAGACTGAAAAGGAGTTTAAGTGAGTGCGGGTGATTGAGGGCTGAGTTGCATGAGGAGTAAGAACTTTGGGTGTTGCTTTCTTCATTTTGGCCGCCATATGATGTGACCTTACTCAACTGATCACCGCGTTCCCTGCCTGTACAGTTTATCCTGGCTTGGTTTCCTGGGAGGTGGTCTGAACCTATTCTACCTCCCCTCAGCCAAGCCTAGAGTAGAGGCCAGGCGTCCTCCCTCATGGGAGAGGCAGTTGAGGAAGGACCCTCTCCTGGGCTGGCCTAGCCTCACACTCATTTGGCCATGATAACCTGGCAAGAGGAACTTGGTGAAAAAGATGAATTGCTAACTGATGGGGCCTAGGAGTGGAGTACAGTACCAAGGCCTAGAAGGTATAGAAGGGTAGAGGGAGAGTTAGATGGGGGAGTCAAGATTTAGAGGGCTGATAAGAATGAAAGGCCTGGTAGAGAAGTCCTGGAGGCATCTGGGGAGTCAGAGTACAGGGGTTCAGTAATCTCTGCCTCCTTCACTGCCTCCTTTACCTTCTAAGGCTTCCTAACCTTCCTCCTACCCCCATGCTCCTCAGGGCATATGTATCTTTGTTTATGCGCCATCTGTGTGAGCCTGGGGCAGACGGCTCTGAAACCTTTGCTGATGGGGTCCCTCGGGAGGGTCTAAGTCGCCAGCAGGTGTTGACACGCATTGGAGTCATGTCTCTCGTCAAGAAGAAGGTATCAGTCTCCCTTACCTTGAGAATTACTCTAGCTACTTAGGTACTTTTCTTCCTCTGCCATCTATTCCTGGGTTTTGTGCTCAGGGTGGTATAGGTGGGACCAGAGCTTCCTGTATGTCTGATACCTGGAGCTAACCTGTCCCTACAACATCCCTTTCCTAGGTGCAGGAGTTTGAGCATATCAATGGGCGCTGGTCAATGCCAGAGCTGATGCCTGACCCCAGTGCAGACTCCAAGCGCTCCTCCAGAGCCTCCTCTCCTACTAAAACTTCTCCTACCACTCCTGAAGCTTCTGCTACCAACAGTCCTTGCACCTCTAAACCTGGTAATCAGGAATCGGGATGGTAGAACAAATAGAAACAAAGTCTCAGGAATCAGGATAGGGGAACCTCTGCCTTCCTTATTCGTCTGTTTTGCATGACTGTTATGAGATACATGAGGTTGAGTAACTTTATAAAGAAAACAGTCTCTTTTAGCTCATGGCTATGGAGATCTAAGGTCAAAAGGCCACATCTGGTATGGGCTTTCTTGCTAGCCAAGTTCTAAGGTAGTGCAGTATATCACATGGCAAGCATACACATGTGTGTTTTGGTTTCTGTCCTTCTTAGAAGCCACTAGGATTTAGTCCTTAGGACTCCATCATGATCTTACCTAATAGTAACTGTATCCTAGAATACCCATCCCTAAGTACCATACTCAATTGTTGCCACCCCCTAGTGCCTCACAGTGGGGATTAAATTTCAACACATGAAACCATGGAATCCATTTTAGCCTTATTAAAATTCTTAGCACTCACTTTGCCTTTCTGCTATAGCTACTCCTGCTCCAAGTGAGAAAGGAGATGGCATAAGGATACCTCTTGAAAAGGATGAAGCTGAAAATCATGATGAAAAGCCAGAGAAGAATAGCAAAATTGGCGAGAAGATGGAAACAGATGTGCGTACCACCTGACTCCTTCTGAGGAGAGGCAGTGGAGGGATCTTTCGGGGTCTTGATAGCCAGGTGCCTGGGAGCCCTTTGGTTCATCTTGACTCTCTTGTCCTACTCAGGCTGAGGTCCCCAGTCCAGCCCCATCACTTGGGGAGCGGCTGGAAGCAAGGAAGATTCCTTTAGATGATGAAGTTCCAGGAGTACCTGGAGAGATGGAGCCTGAATCTGGGTACCGAGGGGACAGAGAGAAGTCAGGTGGGTGCATGACCTCAGTGGTGATGAGGGGATTCGAATTTGGGGGTTCCCTCTTCTGGAGTCAAGGGATGAGGTGACATCCCTTCCTATCCCTTCCCCCCCATTCCCATAGCCACAGAGCCGACACAAGGAGAAAGAGGGGAGGAGAAGCTGTTGGATGGACAGGAACACAGGGAGAGGCTGGAGGGAGAAACAGGAGATTTGGGCAAGAGAGGTAATGAGTGGAAGAACTGGACATCTGGGTCCCTGAGGGGGTCAGAGGAGATGGAGTTGGGGGGACCAAATGCCTGGGTTCTGGGTGGGTAGCTGTTGGAAAGGCCAGGACAGTACAGTAGTCTTGGGACATAGGAAGAGGCTGTTCTCAGGTATGAGCTGTATCGCATCTGCCCTAGCAGAAGATGCAAAAGGGGACCGGGAGCTTCGACCTGGGCCTCCTAGAGATGAGCCACGGTCCAACGGGCGCCGAGAAGAGAAGATGGAGAAGCCTCGGTTCATGTTCAATATTGCTGATGGTGGTTTCACAGGTGGGGAAGGTTCTTACCTCTGTCTGCCCTCACTGAGACCTGCCTATCCTCTGGCTGTGTTCTCACTTTGCCTGAGGCTGCTTGCTGCCTTTAGTTCTGAGTACCTTCCAATGAAATGGTACTTGCTGACTCTGATCCTGGCTCTAGTTCTCCCTTAAGTGTACCACCTAACTATGTAGCAATCTAATCCCACCTTTCATCTCAATCTCAATCTTAACCTAAACCTTGTTTGTAACTTTTATTTCTTGGCTTTAAGGTAGCTTTTATCCACTCCTCCAAAGGAACTTGTACTCTGTTAAGTTCCTATTCATACCTGTCAGGTGGGATGCTGTTTACAAACCCCTGATGCCTCTTCTGTTTGTCGTCTTCTCTTTAGAGCTTCACACACTGTGGCAGAATGAGGAGCGCGCAGCCATTTCTTCAGGGAAACTCAATGAGATCTGGCACCGAAGACATGATTATTGGCTTTTGGCTGGGATTGTCCTGTATCCTTTGATACAGTGCAAGAAGAGAAAAGTTCTCTCAAATGAGAGAGGACAGCTACAGAGAAGAGCCCACACCAGGGAAGGGGGCGCTGAGCCACACTGGGGCGATCACGGGTAAAAGGAAAAGTGTTCACAGCTAAACCCATCCCTGTTAAATTCCTTGATGGTCCCCTTCATCTGCAGCCATGGCTATGCTCGGTGGCAGGACATCCAGAACGATGCTCAGTTTGCCATTATTAATGAGCCATTTAAAACTGAAGCCAATAAAGGGAATTTTCTGGAGATGAAAAATAAGTTCCTGGCCCGGAGGTTCAAGGTGGGGATAAGTGAAGAAAGGAATAGGGGCTTGATGAGGAGGGACTTGGGTTGATAGTAGGGCCAGATCTTCTCAAAATCCAGGAAAGGTAGGTTGAGGCCAAGACCAAAAATAACTTGGTGTTAGAAACTGGATCAGGGTTGATGCTGGGGTCAGGGTCAGTGTGGAGAGGAGATATGGGTGCCATGGGCCAGCAGTGAGGGTAGGGTGAGTCTCCAGTGCTGTATCCTGTCCCCATGTCACTCACCTGTGGCTGGCAAAGCCCTGCCTTCACCCCACCCCATGCCTTCAGCTCCTGGAGCAGGCGCTGGTGATTGAGGAGCAGCTGCGGCGGGCGGCCTACCTGAACCTGTCACAGGAGCCGGCGCACCCCGCCATGGCCCTCCACGCCCGCTTCGCCGAGGCCGAGTGCCTGGCCGAGAGCCACCAGCACCTCTCCAAGGAGTCGCTGGCGGGGAACAAGCCGGCCAACGCTGTCCTGCACAAGGGTAAGGGCCGCGGCGGCCCCGCGCGGGGGAGGGCCCACAACGCTGCGTAAGTCTTCACCCCGCACCCTTTTAAATCTTCCTACCCCCTTCTCCCTTTACCTTCCGAACCACCCCCTCTACCCTCTAACCCTACTCTGACCCACATGGCACCCTTGGTTTTTAGCTTCTAGTACTTGTGCAAACCAACCCTTTTCCATGCCTGAGAGTGTTCATGTCACTGCCCAGCAGGGACTTCCCTACATGCATGTCCCCTCCACACTGGGATTTCTTCCCTGGCCATGCCGCACACCTGCCACGCTTCTAATGTCACCCAGTTTGAGACCCTGGGTTTTGTCTACACCATAGATGTCCTTAGCTTTGATCTCACAGATCAGGTTTCTTCACATCATCACTCCTTCCATGAGGCAGAAACTACCACCCATCTGCCTTTCCAAGCCTACCCTGTGAAACTTCCCTTTGACCTTCAACCCTTTTCCCACACCCTTTTACCTTGATAACTGTAGATTAAATCCCAAAGTTCTCTAACCATCTAACTCTGCCTCATGTAGTGACTGATTCCTGGCCCTTTGATCCCTATTCTAATTCCTTAATCTGTAATGCTGACCCTTCAACATCCTTCTCCCCTGATATATTAAAACCTGACTCCTTTAATCTTTGACACCACTGACCACCTCCCATGCCTCCTGACTCCTCCCCATCACCCCCCAACCCCCAACCTTCATTCTTTCAGTATGGGATGTTCTGACAACTCCCCACCCCCATGTCTTCCAATTTCTTCCCTTACCCTCCCTTTTTCCAATCTTCCCTCTTTCTTTTTGTCTACATCTGTCCTCTGTGGTGGCCTGGCCTCTCTCTTATCCTGACACTTTAAATTGCTCTTTTTTTTCTACTTTCTGTTACTTTCTTCTGTCACTTGGTCTGTGGTTCCTTGACGTTCTTGTCATCTTCTTTCTGACTACATCTGTCCATATGACTCCTTGTCACTCTTCCTGGCTCCATCTCTCTCTTTCCCTCTCTTGCCCTTCTTTCTCCGTGGCCCGGGCCCCAGTTCTGAACCAGCTGGAGGAATTGCTGAGCGACATGAAGGCGGACGTGACCCGCCTGCCAGCCACGCTGTCCCGAATACCCCCCATCGCAGCCCGCCTTCAGATGTCCGAACGCAGCATCCTCAGCCGGCTGGCCAGCAAGGGCACGGAGCCTCACCCCACACCGGTAACCCTCTTTCCCCCTAACTCATTTTCCCTGTTGGTGCTCCTCTTGAACACACACACACACACACACACACACACACACACACACACACACCTGCCAGACTCCTGCTAGACCACAGTCTTCACCCTTGAGAGTCTCCCTGCCTCTGCCACACCCTCAGTAGTTATGGAGTGTTCCTCAAGTTCCCATACAGCTTCTTCTGTTTTACATACTGTGGACTAACTGACCTTAGCTTGCTTTCTATTCCAGGCCTTCCCCCCGGGTCCCTACGCCACACCTCCGGGGTACGGGTCACCCTTCAGCGCCGCACCCGTAGGGGCCCTGGCCGCCGCAGGCGCCAATTACAGCCAGATGCCGGCAGGGTCCTTCATAACAGGTTAGCTGGTGTTTCCTAATCCCTGCTTCTTTCATTCTTCCTCTGCTTAGCTTCATTCCGGCTTGACTTCCTTGTCCTCCAGCCCAAGTATACAGAGTTTCTCTTGGAAGTACACAGTATTTTAGGGAACTGAGTTGTTTTGGGCTTTGTTCTACCCTTATTGTCAAAAACCTCACCTAAGATTTTAGTGCTTCCATTGGCCTTTCCTCTGGGTCACCTCAAAGGAAAGCAAAATCAGAAAGGGGATAGGAGAACATCAGTCATGTGGCAAGGGGAATCTGAGGGTGAGGTATTTGCCCTGGTCTTCCCACCCTTATATTGAGGAAAATCAGAAGCGTCAGGAGGTGACCTAGGAGTGACACTGTCAGGAAGTGATGTTTGGGAGTTATTTGGGAATTGACCATTCCTTACTCCCTTCCCGAACAGCCGCCACCAACGGCCCTCCAGTGCTGGTGAAGAAAGAGAAGGAAATGGTGGGGGCATTGGTGTCAGACGGGCTGGATCGGAAGGAGCCCCGAGCCGGGGAGGTGATCTGTATAGACGATTGACTGGATCCCAGGCGTGCCCTTCACCCAAGCCCCGATACCGAGGCCGACCCCCTGCCCAAGCATTGGGGGCTGCTGCCAACCCTCCACCTTCCCCACCTGTTGGGCCACCGCTGGGTTAGGCGCCCCTCTGCCCCTCTATAACTATCTTCAAGAAGGGCCCCATGTCTTTCTCCATCCCTAGGCACCTTTCCCACCAAGCTTTGAAGACTGCTGGTGTGAGGAGGTCTGGATGGGATGGTTAGCAGGGTCTTCCAAATACCTTTATTCCCCCACTGCCAAATATACACAGCTTCCTAATAAATGGTTGTGGGGAGGAAGAGGTGGAACTTCCCTGGTTTCTTTGCCTATATTATCAGCTCCACCTCCTACAGAAGTGGGTACTGGCCATGCCTGGTCTTTAAAGGAACTTTCATGGGGAGGAGTTTCAAAGAGAAGGGAACTTTGAGAGAGGGATGAAAATGAGCCCTGGGAGGGAAAAGGGAAGAGGAGGGGTGGCTGCATGTTAACTTTCCCCTACCTCTCCCCAAAAGGAGGGTGGAACAGCTTCAAGGGAGAAAGTCAATTGCTGTTCAGCCTCAGAATAAAGGCACCATTCACTTGCTCAGTTATTTCCTGTGTACCAGCATCTTGTGTTGGGAACCATCCCCTCCTCGCTAGGCACCAAGGACCACCCCCAACAATAAATAGTTGGATGGTAATTCCCTCAAGCCAAAGAGGAGCTCCCCAACCTATTCTAGGAACCCAGATAACCTAGAAAAGGTGGAAGAAGTGGGCTAGACATGGGGCAGCCCCCACTCTGGGGCTCCGGTTCCTGAGGGACTTCTACCCTCCCTCATCAAGGCCTGGATACAAACTAAATGTGAGCCATGCAGGCAGGGGGCCTAGTCAAGGGACACTGTTCAAATTTGTGGGACCAGAGCAACTCAGTGGAGGCAGGCTAGGGAGATGTGGCCACATACCCCTTCCCAGGAGGGGCTTGGGAGTGGCAGTTTGCATGGCGAACCTCCCACTTCCTTTTCACTGCCCCTTCACTTTCTTGCTTTCCCTTTCCCAGTCTCTTCACACCCACTCCTGGTCTGTTCCAACCCCCTCTTCTGTATCAGGTTTATTGGTTGTACATATAAATTATACTTTCCTTTCTGTGTGCTCTGTTATTTTGGGCTGGGGGGGGGGTAAGCTTGAGAGAGGGGCAAGGGATAAGAAAGATTTCTGCCATATCATATTATTAATCTTTGACTTTTTAAAATTTTCAATCTTGTGACTTTTTCTTTGCCTTATTTTTATCTCTTGAATCATTCTCTAAAACTGAAGTCCTTTTTCCCACCCCAGCCATGTGATGAGCTAGCTCAGTGTACGAATGGAGGGTGAGCAGCAGGATCCCTTGTAGCCTCACTGGGGTGCAAAAGGGGGAAAGGGGCCTCCTGGACAGAAGTGCAGCAGTAGGAGTACTTTATCTGGCAAGATTGAAAACTGCCTTCCATTGCTTTTGATTGTCCTTCCCACCTTCAAATTATTCAGTTCCACTAAGAGTCAGTAGAGGTCACTACAGCTCCAAAGATTCCATTATGAAGCAGAAGTACACACATTTTTTTAAGGGGGTACAGTAAGACTTTTTTTTTTTTTTTTTTTTGGCAGAACTGGGGATTGAAATCAGGCCCTTGCACTTGCCAGAAAAGCGCTTATTCCACTGAGCCATCTCCCCGGCCCCTAAGACTTATTTCTTGGCATGTACTGCTCACTAACAGACACTCAGAGAATAAGGCCAGACAGTTTTTGAGATTATAATAAAAATGAATAAATTCAACAAATATTTATTGAGTGCATGCTACACAATTGCTGTTGGGCCTGGAGATAAAATTTACAAGTCATTCATTGCTCTCATAGAATAGAGGACAATCACGAAACATGAAATATCAGGAAGTAAAAGCAGTAAAAATAAAGGCATTATGTATTACACGGGATAGGGAAAGGGGCTCTCAAATGAGAACATAAATTGAGACTTAAGGAAAATAGCAAAATATTCTCAAATAGATGTTTATACCCTAAAATGGATACATTTATGATCTATCATTCAAAAATAAACCTTGGAGACCCCTAACAAATTGAGGTCTATACTTAAATTCACATTTTTAACTCAGAAAAATGTTTTCTTTAATAGAACGTGACTCAAACTTTCAGTAAGATAGTATAACATGTTGTAAATACTATACCTACAGATAGTGATTTCAGAGTATCTAGGATCCAGACTGGTGTTTCTTAAACTTATATGCACATGAAGCACTGGGATTGTTAAAAATGCAGTCTCACAAAGTATGGAATAGGATCCTGAAATTCTACACTTCCAACAAGTTCCCAGTGACCAGTGCTGGCTCCTGACTATGACTCTGAGCAATTCATGGCATATAACAGCATCCCACTACAGAACACAAGTGTTAAATTATATAAGCATATTCGTCTAGTAGTGCCAGTGTCCTTGTGAAGATAACATAAAAAGTTTAAATGGTGAGGCCCTCACCAAATAGTTCTTCCATTCTTGACAAGCCTTAATTAGGTGCGTCCCATAAATATCCATTCGACCTTCTGATAGCTGCTCTAGCAGGCTGAAGGGAGACTGAGAAATGAAGCAAAGCCCCTGATCATTATAGTCATCTCAATAATTTCTGGAACACAACTGAGAGTGGGAAGGCAGCAGACATACCAGTGTCTTTACATGCTAAGAGAAATGGTATTAACACAACTTGCATCTTTTTAAAAATTTAAAGCCATTGACAACTGCTAAAATAAGATCTATTGCTCCCACATTCCACAGCCAGCCTGGTCAAGAGCCAAACCAAACAGCCTGTTTTCTTCCCACTGTAACGTAGGCTTTGTTTACATCATTTCTGAACTACATCTTGAGAATGCAATGCTGGCACCATCGGTACACGGGGGCGAGTTTGTCTAGGGCCCTCCCCAGCTTAGCTTCAACACCTCCCAGGGCGTTCCTTCCAGCCTTCGGCTCAACTTCCTCATCATACTCCAATCCCAAAATGGGGGTGGGTGTAGTCCCGACATCAGAGGTGGCACGCTCTACTAAAACGTACCACAAGCTGCAGCTCCCACCTTTCTGCTATAGCTTTCGTCTTCCTTAGTTACAGCGTGCACCGGGTCATGTGGGCAAAGTCCTTGATCTCTGGGCAGTACAGCACTGAGGGAAAGAAGAAGGGTTAGTGGCAGCCGGAGGATGTAACCTCATCCCAGCGTTCCTCGGCTGGCAATCACAGGGACTTTCCGGGGGCCGACCCTCACCGTTGCTAGGCAGCGGACGCCGCCAGCGGCGCGCAGGCAGCAGGACCCGGTCCCAGAGCCGGCGGAGCAAGCGCCAGCCCGCGCTCCTGGGCCCCGTCTCTTTCTCGCACTCAAGTTCTCTATCTGCCTTTTCGTCCGCATCGCCGCTTTCCTTGTCCCGGGTCCCTGCTTCTAGTTCGCGGTCAGCGCGGGCTTTTTCTTCCAATCGTGACCACAGCTCTGAATCAAGAGCGACCTCTGCGACGCCACCGCGAGGCAGAGGGGTGGGCGCACGGCAGAAGGGGCACGTAACGACGCGGCGCAGGCGCACCACGCGCGCGGCCGCCCCACTGCCCTCTCCGCGCGCTGCCAGCTCGCTGAGGCAGGCGGTACACAGTGTGTGGCCGCAGCGGGCGCGCGCCGTGCCGGGCAGGCGGCGGGGCGCGCGATCCCCGAGGTTGAAGGATCGGTAGCAGATGTTGCAGTCCAGCTCGCCCCTCTCCGGAAGAGAAGGCACCCTCACCAGGAGTTGCATCGTGCCCACCGAGGACTGGAGCCCGTCGCTGTAGCAGCCAACTCCGTGGACAGACAAACCGGGCACTCCTGCGGCCCAGGTCAAATCCTGGGGCCGGCGCCGCGGCCTCTTTCTGCTTTTAATAGTGAGGCCCCGCCCTCGAGGCGTCATGCGACTCTTGGGCCGCTCCCGGCGGCGGCACGCGTGTGGGTGGAGGAGGCTGGAGGCGGGAATACTAGATAGAGATGGTGGACCTGGGGAGACGGCCAGGCAATTCCAGTACTGCCCTGGGCACATATCATCCATTGCCCCTGTCCGAACTCTCACCCCCAGCACTCTAATGGTGCCATGTGCAAATCAGCAGGTTCCCAAATACTTCAGGCCCATTTGTAGTTGCTCACACTCTTTCACAGCCCACAGAGTTCATGAGCTAGTTACACTGGCCAATCTACCCAACCTTTAATGAGCTCTTGGATGTTTGGATGCAACCCTCAATCACCTTTTATTTTGGTATCAAGAATGGAACTCATGGGCTGGAGAGATGGCTCAGTGGTCTAAAGCACCTACTTGAAACAAGCTTGGCAAAGCACAGGGACCGCGGTTCGATCCCCCAGCACCACATGCCAGCCAGCCCCGCCCCCTGGTGGGCTGAGCTGGCCACACACACACACACACAATAAATAAATGTAATAAATAAAAATAAAATAATTAAAAAAAAAAAAAGAATGGAACTCAGGTGTTGCTGAGCTATATCCCCAGTCCTTCATGTGGTGTTCTTGTACAGTTGGATTCCCAGATTTTATTCTCGAATGTACGACTCCAGCTGACACCTCAGCCTAAAGAGAGACCTCGATTTCAGGAGTGTGGCCACTAGGAATGCTGGGAATCTTCCTTCTGGAGTATCTGGACACCTACACACTATGATGGCTCCAGCAAAGCAGCCCAGCATGACTTCTGACTCAAGGGTCTGACTTCCTCCACAGGTAAACAGGACATGGTACTCACAACCCACATTCTCTCAAAGTGTGACACCCACACCCAGCGTCATAACCTCCTCTCCTGGACCTGCAGCCTAGGTTCTTGTTGTGGAGGCTGGAGTACAAGGTGTAACCTCTACCAGAAGTTGTTAGATTATGAGCAAATTAATTTCTCTGGGCTTTGATTTCTTTATCTACAAAGTGTGCACAATAGGAATGAAAGAGCCTGTATATGTAAGGTGCTGAAAATAGTACCTGGTATACAGTCCATATCAGGTAAGTATTAGCTGTTGTCATCATCCTGGACTCCCTATATCATGTTTATCATGTTCATTTCAATTTCTCAGTACATGATGTTTTCTACGCCTACCTTTTTTGGTCCGGATAAATGTACACCCATGCATTTATTGGCTTACCCTAGATCATGTAAAGCAGGTTTTTTTTTTTTTTTAAACTAAATTCTTAAAATCTAGAGGGTAGTCTTTTGTGAGGGGGTATGCCATTAATTTTAAGCTAACATTTTAGAACTTTTGTGTTGTCTTCATGACCTCTTGGAGGAAACTATACCAGTGAAGCTGTTATTATTCAAAACTTTTAGGACATCCCACTGGAAAGGTGTGGGTCACATTTTTAACTTTTAAATTAGTGCTAAAACAACCTGGCAGGTCCAGGAGATGGCTCAGTAGAAAAAGTGCTTCTCTGGCAAGCACAGGGGCCTGAATTCAATCCCCTGTTCTGCTAAAAAAATAAAAAATAAAAAATAAAAATAAAAAAAAAAATCAGGCTTTCAATTCACTATGGAGCCTAGGCTGGCCTTGAACTTGCAGTGACTCACCTGCCTCAACTTTCCAAGTCCTGAGATTGTAGGCATGTGCCACCATGCCTAGATAAACTTTAATGTCTTAAGGTAGATTTTATTACTATATATAAATGTGCCCAAAATGTTTGACAGCTAAGGGACTGCTCTAAACTTCAGATCTGTATATCCTGTAGTCTGCTGTGTACCCTGTTTATCTTCTGGAATCCAAACTGATGAACTAATTCTCTTCCAAACTGGGAGTAGTGTTTTTTACTTCTTCCTTTGCTCAACTCCAGAAACCTAGTTATTATCTTTGATACCTTCCTTACCCTCATTTTCTTTACCAACCAATCACCAAGCCTTGGTCATTTTGTTTCTTAAATATCTCTCGTCCATCTGCTTGTTTTCATTTGCTGCCCACCACCGTAGTCTAGATTGACATCATCTCTTGCTTAGACCCCAGCAGCGGCCTCCTAACATTCTGTTCACAGGCACTGTACCTTCACACCTTTCTCTATATTTGTTTCCAGAGAACTTTCCAAAGCTCAAACCCAATCATGTCCTACCACACACTCCTTCTCCTCTTTAAAGTCTATTTATGTGGTGATAGTTGAGTGGCCCCTATTTCCTTTGTAATGTCACTTTGTTGCTTTTCCCATGAAGAGTTGTGTCTACTAGTTCCTCATATCTGGGCTGGCTTTGTGGCTAGCCTTGACCAACAGAATGTGCCATAAATCTGGAGCCTTGTCCTTTGAAGCCCTTTCAGCTCCCTTTGTCCCCTTGGAATGCTGCCCTAAGACTACCATATAAGTAGGGTTAGACCACTCGAGGATGAGCCCACAAGAATAGAGATGTCCCCAACAACAAAAGCTGCCAGGTAGGCTGGTGAGACCTTGAGCGTTCTGTTCAGCCAACCTGCCAGCTGAATATAGCACAAATGAGGTAAAAACAGTAACCAATCTAGAGTCATGAACAAAATAACATTTAAAAAGCTGCTTGACTTTACTATGATTTGGGGTGATTTGTGTCAATAGATAACTGACATAGGCTTTTCTGTTGTCCTTTGGATAAAGATATCCTAAAGTTTGTATGCTACAAGCTCTGTGTATTCTAACTCTGTCATATAATTCAGCTTATACTTCCTTCTTACACACTCTGGAGACTTTTGCCTTATGTTTTGGATCTTAAATGTTCCCCAAAGGCTTATGTGTTGAAAGCCTGGTCCCCAGCTGATGGCGCCATCTGAAGATGGTGGAACATTTAGGAGGTGGAGTCCAGTGAAGGATGTTAGGTCATTGGGGGTTGTACCCTTGAAGGGGATATTGGTTCCCTAGTCCTGTTCATCCACTTCTTGGCCACTGCGAAGTAAGTGGTTTCTTCCATCATGCTGTGCTGTCTCACCACAGGCCCAACAGTGACCATGGATTGAAATAAAGCCAAAATGAGCCAAGATAAACCATTTCTCCTTTTAAATTGTTTTATCACAGGTATTTTGTCCAAGTGACAGCTAACACAGCTTCCATGTGTCACAGGCCTTCACATGCACTATCCCCCTCTCTTGCTTTCACAATTAACACCCACTCCTCTTTCCGATGTCAGGTTAACCTTGTTGTGTCAAATATTCGTTATACACTAAGGCCATGTACTTTCCTCTGGACATCAGACAACTGAAGTTTGTGTTTGACTTGCGGTCATGTGATTATTTCTCCCATTAGTGAACTGCACAAAGGTTCTCAGGTTGGTTTTGTTCACTATTGTATCATTGTGCCATTATTGTAAGACTCAGTACACAAATGCTTGATAAGTTCATGGATGAGGTAAGAAATATGGAAAATGCATATATACAGAGGAGGTGTGACAACACGGGAAGGCTTTGTTTGAAAGGGGTTTGTATACTACTCTGAAGGCACTTAAGAGTCTTTTTTAAAAGATATTAAACAGTGGAGAAGGCAGCATTGTAAGAAGTGCATAACCCTCCAAGAAAACTTTTTTTTTTTTTGTCTTTGAGACAGGGTTTTGCTCTGCAGTTTGGGCTGGTCTTCAATTCACTTTGCAATCCAAGCTGGCCTTGAACTCATAGAGACCCTCCTGCTTAAGCTTCCCAAGTGCTGGGATTACAGGAATGTGCTACCACACCCAGCCCAGGAGGATACTATTTTATGTTTGTTGCAGAAGAACTAGTCATAGTTTAGTCATACATTTTACTTATTTCCTTCAGTCTTCCAAAATGAGTGGGAGATGATTGGGCGGATGTAAGTATTCCTTAGCTTATCTTTGTTGTTTGCTTATCTTATAAATGACAGGGTGTTGGGTTTTCTCTTTTTGAAAATAGTTTTACTTTGTGCTCCCACCTTTAGGATTGAGGCAGGACGAGGAGGGGTAGAAGGGAAATGGTGAAACTGCCTTTAAGAAAAGCAGAACTCATCCTCCTTTGCCTTGTGATCTTTGAAGCTTGTAACTTTCCATCCAGCCCAGGAAATCAGAGTCCATTCGAGAAAAAAATAGTATCTGACATCCCAATTTGATTTTACCTCTCTCCTCTCCTCTCCTCTCCTC